CCCTCCCCCACTCCTCAGCCCACTTCGGACCAGCAACTCCCCCAACCCAATCTCACCACCACCCACCCTATGGTCACCCGGTCCAAAGTCGGCATATCCAAACCCAAACACATCCTTAACCTTAACTCCATGGCCCAAATTTCCCCACTCCCACCCACCTAGCGTAGTGCACTTAAGGATCAAAACTGGTACAATGCTATGTGTGATGAATTTAATGCTTTGATTAAAAACGAAACATGGGAATTAGTACCCCCCCTCCCCCTCACAAAATATTATCACTGGCAAGTGGCTCTTTCGCCACAAATTTGGTCCTACAGGTGAACTGTCCAGGTACAAAGCTCGATGGGTGATCCGCGGATTTAATCAGCGCTATGGAATCGACTACGACGAGACATATAGTCTTGTTGTTAAACCAGCCACGGTACGGATTGTTCTCACTCTTGCTCTAGCTTGCGGCTGGCCGATCCATCAGTTAGATGTCAAGAATGCTTTTCTGAATGGTACACTCCACGAGACAGTCTATGCCTGCCAGGTTTTCAGGATCCCACACGCCCACATTATGTTTGCAGGTTGAAGAAGGCCCTATATGGCCTCAAGCAGGCCCCGCGCTCTTGGTATCACTTGTTTGCAGGCTTCCTTCTCACTTTGGGCTTCCAGGGCTGCAAAAGTGACACGTCCCTCTTTGTTTACTCTCATGGTTCTGACATGGCTTATCTTTTACTTTATGTGGACGACATAGTTCTCACAGCCTCCTCCACTGCTCTTTTCACTCGCCTCACTCAGAAACTTAAGGGAGAGTTCGCCATGACAGATATGGGGGACCTCAATATTTTCCTTGGGATTAATGTCCAGCGCACTGGCGGTGGCCTCTTTCTTCACCAAACACAGTTTGCTCATGAAATCCTGGAACGTGCTAACATGCTCCACTGCAAGCCCATCTCCACGCCAGTCGAAACCAAAGCAAAGTTGTCAGCCACGTCTGGTACACCACTTCTGGACCCCTCCATATACAGATCCATTGTCGGCGCCTTACAGTATCTTACTTTCACTCAGCGTGATCTTACATATGCAGTCCAGCAGCTCTGCCTACACCTCCATGCCCCCCGTACAACCCATCTTACAGCTATGAAGAGGGTTCTACGCTACATCCATGGCTGGCATCACCCTTCACCATACGTGCTCAGATTCCTTGCAGGCCTACTCCGATGCAGATTGGGCTGGATGCCCCGACACTCGTCGCTCAACCTCGGGGTATTGTGTTTTCCTTGGAGACAACCTCATCTCATGGTCCTCCAAGCACCAGGCCACCACCTCTCGCTCTAGTGCTGAGGCCGAGTATCGTGTCGTGGCAAACACCGTAGCTGAGGCAAGCTGGGTCCAAAATCTTCTCCTTGAGCTTCAACTACCCCTGCGACGTGCTACACTGGTCTTTTGCGATAACGTCACTGCCGTGTATCTATCATCAAACCCAGTACAACATCAGCGCACCAAACACGTAGAAGTCGACATCCAATTTGTCAGAGACAATATTGCCCTAGGGCATGTCAGAGTACTACATGTCCCCTCCTCTTCCCAGTATGCAGATATTTTCACTAAAGGGCTTCCGTCTCTTCTCTTCTCCGACTTCAGACACAGTCTTGGCGTCCGTCCTTCGCCGGTCACGTAGTTGGGTGCATGTTAAATATGTTATGTATATATTTAATATTAATTATGTGATCATTGTATTTATGGTAGTTTACATGTATAAGTTCCCTTCCGTCTGTAACTATTTATACGAGGCTTCGTCCTCCGTTATTATTCAATAGAAAATAACAATTCTTCAAGTTCGTTTCGACTTATTTTCAATTCGGTTTTGTTTAGTCATTTGAGTCCGACAATTTTCAATTAAATTTAAAACTAACTTTCAGTTAGTTTTCAAAACTTCGTTTATGTTAATCGGCTAAGGACATCAAATAACTTCCTTAATACCGACATTATGTTATATACTCCCTCCGTCCCAATTTAAATCGCCTGTTTTAACTTTTGAGCATATTTAAGGAAAATAAAAAATAGAATTAATTTTTCAAAATTGACATTACTTTTTAGGAGGGTGATGATGAATGAGAAGATAAGGTGAAGAAGCACTACAAGAAAAATGCTCTATAGTGTGAGTACAATCCGTAGTTAAAACACAAAAAACCGTCATTAAAACATTTTAATGAGAGGAAATTTACTCTCATCTACCGTCATTATAGCCTCCGTAGCTAATTACAAATAATGACGGGTTACAAGCACTCTCATTATAATTATTTAATGAGAGTATTTTTACCTTCATCAAAATACTCTTTTTATGACAAAAAATCTCGTCATTAATACAATTATTAGTAAAAAGAATTATACGTAGTATTTTTTATGATTAAATATACCGCAATTTATATACATACACACACACATACACATACATACATACATAGAGAGATAGGGGTATTGAAAAAGATTTTATTAAAAAAAGAAGTAATGAAATTTAATGTACAAGGGGGGACCAAACCAAAGCCCTTTTGAGACAAAAAAAAAGAAGTCTAAGTTAGAAACTAAAATCCAACTGTATAACCTAGAAGCAAACAACCCATAACTTAATTAATCTTCATAACACCATCAAACATCAACTTCGAAAGCCAAATGTTCAATGTTCACCTCCATTGAGAGTCCAACACATAGCAACGAACTCAGCTTTGCCATTGTCCTTGGCAAGACCGTTCTCAATTCTGTCTTAGTCGCAATTCAGGGTTTTGCTTTAAAAGTAAGAACACTTAATGCTGCCATGCCATCCCCAAACATGTACATTCCTGAAAATTACAATCACATGACAAAAGAAACATTTTTATATACACATCAGTAGTTATAGTGAACCTAAACACAATCAACATTGAATCCGGCTTCTTGGGGGTAAATGCCTAATTTGATAAATAACCATTTTGAGGTTAATTAATCCCAATCAATCCAAACAGAGCATTAGTAATTACAATGTGTATTATGATGCCTTCATTGATTCAGCAAATATGCAAATTTCACGCCATCCAGAGGGAACACGCCGGTCCACCATACATTTCCAGCGGGAGGGACGACAGTACTTATAAGTGAAAGATTAAGTGAGAAGTCCCAAGACATATACACAAGCACACCCAGCCTAAAAACCAGCTCCTCGTTTAAGTTTTCAAACTGAAACCATAAACCAGCCCACCCAAAAGCCAGCTTCTAAAACCCAAAAGCCTGATATTGAAAGCCTAAACCCAGTACCCGAAAACCAAAAAAAAAACCCAAAAGAAAGCGGCTCAAAACAAACACAATATGTTGAAAACCTAGCTGCCAAAATAAGCAGATGTTGAAAACCAAACACCAAAACCTAGCTGCCAAAAAAACCTAGCTGCCAAAATATGCATCTCCAGGACTATAAGCATCTCCAAGATAAGCAGATGTTGATAACCTAGATTCCTAAATAACCTAGATGCAAAAATAAGCAGTCCCCTCTAAAACCTAGCTGCCAAAACCAAAACAAAAAACATCCACCTCAAAACCAGATGTTGAAAACCAAACACAAAGTACTTGGCCAGTATTAAGCCACCTTAAAACCAGAATTAAGCCAGTACGGAAGCTAGTAATTTCATAAATACGAAGTATTTAGGTTGCTCTAACAAATACAAAAAAAACATTCAAGAATGGTCACGAATGCTGCCACAGAATCAAACTTCAAACCTAATTGATGAACAAATTGAACCAAACTTTATAAACAGAATGGATTCAAACAAAAGCAAAGTCAAATATTATGGATCTGATGGCTATAAACCACCGAGAGTATGAAATAATGTAAGTTTTAGAGAGAGAGAATGCAAAGTAGGAGTATATTGATTTCAAAAATCGGATCCATTACAATGAGGGGTGCCACCCCTTTTATAGGGGGTACAATATACTAAGTCAAAGCCCTCTGATCGAGGCCCGTCGTTTAGCGGACGTCACCTGTCCTTAGGTCTTGTCCCTTTCATCCTATCGCTTTCACCAAGTCTTCGTTGAACGTCGTTTTCTGCACGTCTTGTCCCTTTCATCCTATCGCTTTCCTCAAGCCTCCGTTGAACGTCGCTTTCCGCATGTCATTGTCG